CTTCCACATGAAAAGTTTTCTATGGCATTGGCTCACAGCCTGTTTCCTGCCCTCTCACAAAGGACAGCTGATGTTCATTTGCAACAATCACTGGCAGCCTAACCCTACTTTTTCCACTCAGGAAATCTATCAGAATTTGAGTGAGAGTACTATAATTATAGGGATAACTTTGAAAACATTAGAAAGGTGAGTCACAAAGTAGTTAAAAATTCGTTGGGGCACACCTCTCAGATGATTCTGACACTCCAGTGTGCTACAGCAACACTAGCATTCAGATATGCTGCTCTAGAGAACAATGGGAAGTTTTTTGACAGAGTCAAAATTCTTTATGTTTACTGATACTGTTTAGAAGCAGAATATTTTTTTTCTCCTCATGAGAATTTCTTAGACCATTACTCCTGCTACAGAGGAAATAAATCTAGTTCAAGTTGGAGCAAGCAGCATTATTCTTGTTCTACTGTAACAAACATTTCATGAAAGCAGCTTTTTATTAAAATAGCATAATCCTCCTTAGTTCCTGGAGGGAATTACAGATTCACAGAATGTTACAGTTGGAAAGGGCTTTAGAGCATCTAGAAAAATACCCTCACTTCATAAATGAGACAGTAGAGCCTACAGAAGTAATGGGACGTGCCCTTGATTACACAGCTAGTAACAAGCAGAGCTAGCAAACCAGGTCTCTTAATTACAAATTGCACCATAACCTAGTAAGTAAGAAGAGAGACAGCAGATTGAAGGGACAGGAAAATTGTGATTTAAGTTGTTCACAGGGAAAATGTACAGAGGCTGGAAGTTTAAACAGGAAAAGAAAGGTATGGCAGTACTAAACAGCTAAAGAAGTGCTGCTCCCCATGGGAGAAAAATTTAGGATTGAAAATAAGTATGAAATTCAGGTAACCTTTCTGGCAAAAACCTGAGACATTATGTGAGTTTAGAACCCTTAAATTTACAAGGACTTAAAAAATAGGTATTTTAATTTAAGTGATCAAAGTTATCCAGTAAGTAACTAGTGTTAGATTTAGAGGAGAGAATAGGACACTTTGTATATGGAAACCTGAAAGCACAAAGAAAGAATTTTAGCCCATGACAGTCCATTAGAGTGTTAAGTTCCTTGCTTACATAAAGCTCTTTGCTATCAGAAATTCAAGAAAACTTTTTGGCTTAAATAATCACTTGTACAAGGTCGGGTGTGGTGGCTCATGCCTGTAATCCTAGCACTCTGGGAGGCTGAGGCAGGAGGATCACTAAAGGTCAGGAGTTCAAGACCAGCCTCAGGCAAGAGCGAGACCCCCCGTCTCTACTAAAAATAGAAAGAAATTAGCTGGACAACTAAAAATACATAGAAAAAATTAGCTGGGCATGGTGGCGCATGCCTGCAGTCCCAGCTACTCGGGAGGCTGAGGCAGAAAGATTGCTTGGGGCCAGGAGTTTGAGGTTGCTGTGAGCTAGGCTGATGATGCCACGGCACTCCAGCCCAAGCAACAGAGCAACACTCTCTCTCAAAAAAAAAAAAAAAAAAAAAAAAAAGTCACTTGTACAAAACAAGGATTATTCTAAAGCTTTATAGTTTAAGAATTTCTATACATTCTTCTACTCCCAAGAGCACTTGTCCCTTCTTAAGATATACTGTGCACTGGTAAAGAGAGATTAAAAACAAAACAAACATAGAAAAGAAGCAATCTTCGGTTTCCCAGTCAATGAAGTACTTTGCTGAAAGAAAATATTCCCACTCAGAGAAAGCACAAAGTGAATACAACTAAAAACAACTAAAACTCACTCTGGTATTTCAACACTATGTTGTAACAGTCAATTTTCCAATTGTTCTTCAAGATAGAAAACTCAGATTCTGATGATGAAGAAGATGGATCTACAGCCCAGTGCAGGAGTCAGATGGACCAACTGGTTTGGGAAGAAGCTTTCTGTCGGTTTGTAAATAACCTGAGTGAGGAAGACTACAAGGCTTATGAGGGATAACAATTTGCTGGGTACCACAGGTGAAAGTACAGAAAGAAGAGTTGCTGAGAAGGTTAAAACAAATTAAAGATGATCCACCATAGAATCAGGTGAAAACAGAGGTGAGAGAGACTCTTTGGATGATGTCTAGTACTGGGAGTGAGTCTCTAATAGACTGGCTTACCTCTTTTGGACAAACAGAAAATATGATAGGAAGTGAGCAAAGAGAAAACCAAGCTTGGACAGCAGCAGGCCAAAGGAATCCATATAGTAGTAATTTCAGATTCAGTGTAGGGATAAATATTAACCTTTATCATGGGAGTCCGAATACAAAGAATGAATATGCATCATCTCTGAGACTTCCCAGGGGAGAAAATATGGAAAACAGCCACAAGCAAGTGGAAAACCCACAATCTGAGTCAAGGTTTGCAAGGCCATCTAGACCAAAATGAAGTGCAACTGAAGCATTAATGGAAGTCCCACCTATCAGAGGTCAGAGAAGACTGAAAAGCAGGAGCCCAGACCATCAGAGAACCAGAATGAGAACTAAGAGTAGGTTGCCTCCAAATTCATGGCATGAAATTTCACAAAGATTTCATGATACTATACCATCTCAGACTTTTGAGCAGCCTCTGATAAATGAGACTGAGAAATTTTCTTTAACTCAGCAACATGAGACATTGAGATAGCAAACAACTGAATCGCAGTTGCAAAGTGGGAATCTTTTTGCAGCTTCAAGGAACCAGGAATGCCTTTCCAGGAGAACATTCTTCAAATAAAACCAGAAATGGTGAATATGGAGACCAAGAAATCTAACCATAGTCCTGGATGTCACAGAGAGAAGAATTCCTCCTGGAGGATATTTGCCGAGAGACAACATATCTAATAGAACTCAGTTAACATCTGAGACACCAAACAACACTATTACTTTAGAAAGTGAACAAGGAAGACTCCAAAATGTTTTCACATTCTGATCCAGCAGGTGTAAACTTATTTCAGTATCAACAGAATTCCTGTTGATAGAATTTTAAACACTAATTTAAATAATACATCTGTTGCAACTCAGAGAGCATTAAGGCAGAAAATGACAAGATTTGCTGACTTCAGTAAACTTACCGATGGTGATAGTGATTTAGATCCCAGTGGCTCACCCCCAAGTCAAATCATGGAAAGGGCAGTCACAGAATGAAAGAGATGGTTCTGGGCCAACCATGGCAGCTCACACCTGTAATCCTAGCACTTGGGCAGGCTGAGGTGGGAAGATTGCTTGAGGCAAGGAGTTTGAAACCAACCTGAGCAAGAGCAAGACCTTTTTTTTTTCCCTACAAAAAACAGAAAAATTAGCCAGGAGTGTTGGTGGCACGCCGATAGTCCTAGCTACTCTGGAGGCTCAGGCAAGAGAACTGCCCATGAGTTTGAGGCTGCAGTGAGCTATGATGATGCCACTGCACTATAGCCTGAGCTGTAGAATGAGACCCTGTCGAAGAGAAGAAAGGAGAGGAGAGGAGGAGAGGAGGAGAGGAGAGGAGAGGAGAGGAGAGGAGAGGAGGGGAGGGGA